GTCTTAAAAACCAAGTTTATTTTACTTAGGGCCTAAATGAATCTGAAATTACTCTATAGGATTTGAAGCCTCAAGTGCAATATTTCTTCAAAGCAAAAATACTATTTTGCCCTTAATGGAAAGAAATAAAATTGAACGCAAAGAAAGAATGACAAATGTGCAGGAATGGATATTTAGCTGAAGAATGGGAAGGTTTCTAATTTCTAATGGAGAGGAGTAACTTTTGAGATACGTAGATTTCAAAATCTCTTCATCTTAAGCAGTGCTTTGATGATTTTAAGATCTTAGCTAGAAGTTTTTAGGTTTCTCACATTCTTGCTATAGAAATAAGCTAAGATTTTTACTATTATTGCTGTAAAAATGAAGGCATCTGTTGTTACTGCATAAATCATTTAAGGGTAGAAATAATTTAAGGTTTGTCATTATTGCATGTCAGTTGCTGGTGAAGTGGCGACAAAGATGATCTTCACTCATTTAATATGTAGTAGTTCATTTAATGAAAGCATTTAATAGGGGCTCTACATGAGGTAGTAGGGTATATATGAGATGGACTTTTTGTTGTACAAAGTTAAATATAATATTGTTGAAATTAGAATTTTATTTCTAATTCTACTGCTAATATGAGATAAAGGCTGCTGAACCATTTTGGTAATGAAAGTTTTAGAGTGGATTAGTTGTTATGCAATAATGATGGTTGACTTATTTATATTGGAGTTTTACACATGAATTGAATAAAATATGATCCAATATGAAGAAAATCTTCTATAAAAAATGTTGGAGTATTTATTGTGCAAAATGAACTTTGAGTTATTTTTGTTGAACGTTGAGATGTGCATTATTTAAGCTTAGCCTAATGATAAATTGGAATCATAAGACATTCAAGTGAGAATATATGAACTTTGTGTTATGCGTAGTGAATATTATGTTGTGCCATGTTTGCCTAACTTGAGCATTCCTTTTGTTAAACCTAACCTAATGATAAATTGAAATAACATGGACTTTTAGGTGACAATATATGAACCTTATGTTATCCATAGTGAATATTGTGTTATACATTGTTTGTTTATTTATACAATTTGTTAAAGAAGTCTAACCTATTAATAGAAGCTAAAAGTTGTTGAACAAAATATTCATTCATATTTCATTTTATTGCCTTTGTTATGCGGTGATGATTGTGAAATTCATCTCATTACATGGCTCAAATTCTGGAACAATATCATCAATGTTGACCATCCTTCGTTTACCATGTCTAGAAACACAACACAAGAACTATCGATCATAAGGTGTGGCATATTATGTTGGCTGGTGGAGCATCCCAATAATGCCATCCATGAACGTCCACTTACATTTATAGGAATAGGCAAATGAGAAGGAAAAATTATAGGATTATGAAATTAGATTCTCCAACTTAGATTATGTCTATATTTTAAGATGTTTTTTTGTAATTTGAAAATAGTTTTCGTTTATAATTGAAATTATGTATATATTTGCACGAAAAGGAAATGAAATTTACAAATCTTAGTCTTTCCATCATGTACAAGACAACATCCACTATTGTTACACCGGCCGTGCAACGTGGTGGCCCAATCATCATGAGGAAAAAAAAGAAGAGAAGTCGCCATTGAGATTTTGAGGAAAAATCTTGGGAAACCAACTGAAGGTGATAAGGATGATTTTCGTAACCAGAAACAAGTTTGGGATTCAATTATGAGTGGAGAAGGTTTTACACACCCCACATCACCTATTCTATAGAACGATTATCTTAGTTAATTATGTAATTAGTATAACCTTTTAAGATTATTTTAACTACTCTTTTTATTATTCATCCCTAAAAATAAATATAAAAAAAATTAAAAATTAAATTTAAATATGAAAAGAAAATTATTATTTATTTACAAGCGAACTTGATTTAAGATGAGAGTCAAGGGCCTACGTACCCTGTTAGAAGGATCAATGCTCACGTAATTTGGAATGAAAGTTTTACTTTTTTGCATTTTATTATTATTGAAGAGAGATAAGTTGAAAAACAAAAATAATTTTTTAAAATTTGGATATGTATATGTTAATTGCAAAAAATAATTTAATTTTATTTATTACCTGAATTTGAATTTGTAAGGAAAATAATTTAAAATTATTTTTTTGTTGAAAAATCTTTATTTTTTATTTTTTAAAATTTAACCGTTATACTTACGAGGTCTTATTGACTCACATGATATAACGGTTATTCTAAATATCTGTGGAGAATCTTAAAATCTCACACATCAAGAGTTAAATAGCTTAGTTTATTTACTTTATTAAGCATTTAATTGTATATATATTTATGTTTATTCTAATTTTTTTAAACATGTATTATATAAAATCTTAATCATTGTACTTGCAGAATCTTATTGATCCACACGGTAATATAATTATTTTAAATATCTGCAGAGATTCAAAAATCTCATGCGACAAAAGAATTAGATAATATTTATTTAAATATATATATTTTTTAATTTAAATTTATTATGCCTGTATATACTTATATATATATATTATAAAAAAATTGTAATCATTATACTTGTGGAACCTTATTGACTCATACGACAATATGATTATTATAGAGATCTATGGAGGTTTTAAAGTCTCATGTGATTAAAAGATCTAATTAGTAAATTTGATTATAATTTAAATACATTAATTTAATTAACTAATTTTTTATAAATTTTTATTATATAATTATTTAAAAAAATCATTCATTCATTTACTATATACAAATCAATAATCACAATATTTATGAGCATTTTTTATCCCACGTGATGAGGTAATTAATCAGAGTACCAACAAGGATCTTTTAAATCTCATACAATACTATTAAATATTTTATTTATTTTAAAATCTAAAAAGAAAAAACAATAATTTGAATGATTGAGTCATTGGAACCTCTATATAAATTTGATTCTCACACCTGCGAAATCTTATTGATTTACATAATATGAGATTATTCTAAACAGTTGTGGAGACTCTTAAAATCTCACACAACTAATTTTATTTGGGACGACTGAAGCCATGTTTGTTGAGAACCAAGACCAAAAAAAAAAAGAATAATAAAGCAAAACATAACCAAACCATATAAACGCATGGTATTGCAACTTTACATTTTGCCTTGCTAACCATCCAATTGACAAACCATGTGTAAACATAAATCCAATAGCCAATCACTTTTAAGTTAACGTCTTTTTTTTTTTTTATAAACATGGATGTATTTCCTTTTAATTGACAAAGAACTCAATCACCACCAAGACTCTTCTAGATTGGAAATATGCAAAATCAAAAACACAAGGTGACAGCTTTAATAAATTTTCTTCATTAATATTAGTCATGAAACTTTGTGAAGGACCGAATGTATACATTTTGGTTTGGCCTTTAAAGGAGAGAAAAACTAAGGCCACGTTCTCTATTCAGGGCAAAACCAAAGCTTGTATAGGGCCCTATATATATTCATCAAGCAACGCCAAGCTTGTATCTCACAGGATAACTCTAAATAAAGTGTTAATAATCAAAGTAGACTTGGTTGACTCTGAATTCTTTATTTCTTTGGGGGGCGGGGAATCAGCTCATGATCAGATTGATAAGCTAAGAATTTTACCCATCAAATGAAAGTACACGAAGGTAAAAAAAAATGAAGAGAGCGCACAACTCAATGTTCTTGAAACAATTATTCATCCTAGCCATAAATTAAGGAAGGTGTTTTTCAACATTTAAAACATAATTCCATCCAGAGATGAGAACATATATACACAGTAGGACACAATTCTTGACTATTAAATTCATGATCGAAAAATATCTTGAACCATAAAGGTATTATTTTTTATCAAGCAACATCTCTATAATTTTGTACATCCCCAAAACCCATTTATCAAGCACCTTCAATCTATCAATAATCAAGGTTTTGACAAAGAGAATCCAAACACCCATACTTTTTTATGATCTATTTTTCATCTTAAAATTTCGTTTTGCTCTAAGCAGCTTGGGGTAGCTTATGATTTTCAATTCTACCTCCTGGACTCATTTATTATGTGTCAAAATTCTTACTTACCAAATATGTTCGGCATGTTTGTGAATGTGTGACGTCTCTTACTCCTCTCCTCCCATCTCATGTTACTATGAAATGAAGTCTTTCCTCATATTAAGCCACGATTATATTGAAGTTTTACATAAAAAAATTAATTATTTTAAGATTCATTGACAATTAAACTAAAATGTATTGTTTGTGTTCAATACAGTTTAATTTAGTTGTTAATGGATCTTGCAGTAATTAATTCAAAGCAGTTTAATTCAATTGTCAATAGACCTTGTAGTAATTAATTCTCTTGTGTGGGACCTAACTGTAATTCTCCTTTATATTAACAAGACCCCATAATAGTATATTAAAAATAATATTAATTATTGAAATTATAAAAGATTATTCTAATTTTAATATAACTATTAAATACAATTTTATAATCAATTATATGTATATATATATATGTTAAATATTTTATAAATATTAATTGGACCACTATTATACATATTTTATTTGTTGAATTGAATTTAACAAATTTAATAATATTATAAATAATTATATTAATATTTACATCTTAAAAAAGGTCCTTTATTGTACTTTTCACATATAAATTGATTTGGATTAAAATCACCCAAATATCTCAACTATATTAAAATCACTTTTAAAAAAATAATATCAAACATAATCACATTAAAACATAATTAATTATAATAAAATTAATCATATTAATTAATTTTATTTATAATGAATTATATTGAACTGAAATTCAAATGACTTTAATAGTCATTTGCATTGATGGGAAATACAATTGCGTTAGAACCCTCCCTGATTTTTCCTAAAAATTTTAACGAGCGGTGGCTCCTCCTCAGGCTGAGACTACTTTCGTTGTCCCCTCAGGTCGACGTCCGCATCTCGGAGCAGCAAAGTGTTTTGGCGAAGGATATGAAGGCTAAAGGTGATGTTTTGTGGCGCTTCAAGGTATGCCTTCCCCAAATTTCCTTTCTTTCCCGCATCGTCTCCGTCTTCATTCCTTCCTTCTCCTTCCTATGCCCTTCCTCTCTACTTCTGTCTCCATTCCAATTCCACAAATCCTCTAAGGATTGAGGAGCTTGTCTCTTCTTTCCACGCCTTGCTTCATAGGCATCCCCGACCTTGTATAGTTCAAATCAATAAGGCTTTAGTATCTATTGCACGGATGAAACATCATCCTACTGCTATCTCTCTTTTTGCACTCGCGGAATCTAAGGGATTCACGCCTTCTTTCGTTACTCTTGGCGTCTTGATTAATTGTTACTGCCACGTGGGTCAAATGACTTTTGCTTTCTCTGTCTTCGGGAAGATTCTTAAGATGGGTTGTCAGCCAAATACGATAATTTTGACAACACTGATGAAGGGCCTTTGCATCAATGATGACGTCGGGAAGGCCTTAGATTTTTATGATGATCTGATAGTAAAAGGGTTTAACTTAAATGAGGTTAGTTACGGCACCCTCATCAATGGGCTATGCAAAACAGGGAAAACAAGATGTGCTGTCAAACTTCTCCAAAAGATGGCCAGAGGGCGGGTTAAGCCTATTTAATTATGTATAATACAATTATTGATGGCTTTTGCAAGGAAGGACTCATCACAGAAGCCAGTGATTTATTTCATGAAATGATTGGTCACGTAGTATCTCCTAATGCTATGACCTACACCTCAATGATAAATGGTTTGTGTTGTATGGATAAATGGCCAGAAGCAGCAAAGTTGTTCAGTCAAATGAGACTTGAAAGCATCAACCCTGATATTTATACTTTTAATGTATTAGTTGATGCATTTTGTAAGGAAGGAAGTGTTACCAAAGCTGAAGCTGTTGTTGGCATGATGATGAAACACGGTATAAACCCAATGTAGTTATTTACAACACTTTAATGGATGGGTACTGTTGGATCAATAATGTTAAGGAGTCAAGAGAATTGTTCGATGAGATGGTCAAGAGTGGTTTGACTCCTGATGATTTTAGTTATAGTATTTTGATCAATGGACTCTGTAAAATCAAGATGGTTGATGATGCCTTGGATCTCTTCAAAGAAATGAAACACAAAAATTTGATTCCCAATATGGTTACCTATAGCTCTCTTGTTGATGGATTATGCAAATCAGGCAAATTGTTGAGCGTGCAGGATATTATCTATGAGATACGTGATAGAGGCCACGTCCCAAATATAATATTTTATAGTATCTTATTGGATGGCTTGTGTAAAAGTCATTATCTTGATCAGGCAATTGCATTATTTAAACAAATTGTTGACCAAAGAATTCAGCCTAATATATGCACATATACCATTCTTATAGATGGTTTGTGCAAGGTAATAGACTAAATGACGCACAATGAATTTTCCAATATCTTTTGGTTAGTGGTCTTCCTTTAGACGTTCAGGCATATACTGCTATGATCAATGGACTGTGTAATGAGGGCTTGTTTGATGAGGCAAAGGCAATGCTCTATAAAATGAAAGAGAATGGGTGCTCACCGAATTTAGTAACTTTTGATACAATTATTAGACCTCTTTTGGAAAAGGGTGAGAATGATAAGGCAAAGGATTTTCTTGATGAAATGTTCGCTAGAGGTCTCCTAAAGCGATAAAAAAGGTTAGATACTTTGATCCAAATCCATTTGATTGGTGAATGGTGATAGTTGATACTCAGTGATAAAATTTATTGCAATAGTTAACAAATTTCTTAATTTAAATAAACTTTGTGGACTATATGATGGCTTGCTTCAATCGTCTGTTATTGTTAAATCATGTTTGCTGTTTTTTTGTTTTTTCACTTTTCGTTGGTACTAGTTGTCAAGATGTTTTTCTTTTTTGGCTTAACATGGCTTTGTTTTTTGTTTATGTCTCCACTTTGATTTATGAACTCATAGGCATGTTATTTTATACAAAATCTATTGTGTGGTGCTTTTACATCTATGGTCTCAGGCCGAAAGAGTTATTTGTGCTTTACAAACTTAACAATATTGATAAACTGATATTAATGATGTCACCATACCAAGTTGTGAAAGTTTCTACTTTTGGGAGCTGACGTTTTGACTCTTACTCATGCATGATTTCTTAAGAACCTCAAGCATCTTATTGATACTTGCTAACTATGAAAGAAAGCAAATTTATTGTATTTTTTGCAAAATACAGGATAATATTGAGATGGGTTCAACTTGTTATTGTGGGATGCTAACTTTCGCAAAATGAATATCCAATATTGCATTGATTTTTTCTTGTTTTCGTGTTTGTTGGTGCCAATACTATATGATTCTAGGGGAAAGGTGCTATTATGTTGGACATGTGTTTTGGCTTTAGATGTCCTTCGGTCATACATAGCAATTGACCATAGATAAAGTGTAGATGTGTTTAGTCGTGCTGTCTTTTTGTTGATTGCTTCTTAAATTTTGTCTCCTTTGATATGTTAATGTCCATATTTTGCTTTTCCAAATCATGCGGAGACTGTTAGTAGAAGTTGGTATCTTTTATTTGGTCCTGGAATTGGATTGTAATGCATGAAAAATGAAAGTACCAATGACTCAAAGTAGCATTATTATAATCAGAAGAGTCTGAATCTTGCAAGATTAATTGCTGGCTCCTGTGGCAGCGGCTTCTTACCTGGTCCATAATAATATTTTATATTCTTCTTCTTCTTTTTGTCCGTAGCATATATTAGGGAAGCAAGAGAACTGTGAAAGATCTTTTTCATTAATTTTCTTGCTTTAGAAATGTTATCATGTGAATAAGTTCCATTTCCCACCCACTAATTAGTGCTTTTTGCATGCTATCATGTTGATAGTCTATATGGCATTTAGAAGTCCGCTTGATGCTGTTTGACACTGTTCAATGCTTGGAGAGTTCGGTGCGATCATTACTCATAGCTACTCCTATAAATTTATAGCCTATGCAACAAGCTGCTCTTTCTTTGATATTTTCTAGAAAATTTGACTTAATAGATTATTTATTTGTCTTGTAGTCTCTCTCTTTTTTCTCACTTCGGAGTTTGACTAATAGAAGGAGTTGACCCGTTTTTGTTGTTCTTGTAATTGGATGCACTTTTAAAGGTTTCTGCCAGGTGATGCAGCATGGGAAGATTGGTAGCATGGGATATTCATGTTGGACTCAGCACCAGAGGAAGATGGAAGAAGGGGAATGTGAATGGCTGACGAACAATTAATGAGTGGCTGGGGTATATGTGAATGGAGGCTTTGGGCTAAAGGATATTGAGTCTCACAAGAAAGTGAGCCTCATGAATTGGGAAGAAGATCTTTGTCAACCCAAAGAGCATGGAGGCGTATGATATTGAGAGCCAAAACTCATGTTTCTTGGTTAAATTAGCTTAAAACCTGATCTCTAATTCTGATGCTCTTTGGGTCCTGTGTCTCCGAGAGAAATATATGCTGGCCTTTAGCAAACAGAAGCAAGCTTAAATGTTCCTCGTGCTCTCATTTTCGGAGAAATCTAATGAAGATCTTGGAGGAAGTTGATCTGGGGATATTAGGGGAACCCTGTAATGGGAAAGACATGCATTTTAGGAATGACAACTGGGTTGGTGACCTTGGCCCACTTAAGCTTCCATACTTCGCCCCTATTTTTGATGATGCCAAAGCTTCAAAGCCCATTGCTGATTTTGTTGATGCTGATGATCAATGGAATAGGGGTTCATTTCAACATAGACTTCCCCAAAGCTCTTGTAAAGTTTTCAAATATCCCTCCTCCTTGTAACGATCAAACTGAAACTTGTCTGTAATTGGAGAGTAACATTCTGGCCTCATTTGTTGGATGCTCTGCACTGTTAAAGACTGTAGAAATTTTGCCAATGATTGCCACACTGCTCATCATCTAGTGATAACAAATCCCTTGCCATGGCTCATCAAGGCCTCTATCTTCAATCACTTTTTGCTTACTGTGAGTGGATCTTATTTTTTTGTTGCTCCTCTCCCCATTCCTTCTGTATTGATTTAATTATGATGTATACCCAAGTTTTAATTCCTTGGGCTAACATTATGTAATTCTTTTTTCAGTAATGATTACCGTATTTCTCATTGGGGGAAAAAAAAGGCAGAGTAGCTAGCCTGGTTTAGGGCTTTTTTTTCCTTTAAAAAAAAAAAAATCTTAGGCCTAACCTAGGATGGGAGTATGAGGATCGTTGAACTACTTAAAGCACTTGACAACAACCCTTCATGTATCCATTAACCCTTCATAAGTAATGACTAGACTTTAGTCTGTTGAATTTTGTATACTTCTGTAATATGCCTATGAAATGTTTGACCCAGAGGTGGAAGCTTATGTTTTGTCTCTTACTCGTATAATTCTTTAATAACTTTAGCATTTGATAGAGATTTTCTAGCAATGAAAGAAAGAAAATTTGAGGGTGTTGGAATAATTTCAAGATGGATTTATTTTGGTGCTGTTATTGTGGGCTGCTAGCTTTGGGAAAATGAATATCCCATAGTGAGTCAATTTGCCTCGCTTTTCAAGCTCTCTTATCTCATTCTGAATGCTTTGTGGCATTGTATATGGCACTTGAAGTCTCCTCCCCAATTAAATCACTTTCTATGGAGAGCTCTTAACCAATCACGTGCTACCAATAAAACACTCTATATTAGAAAATGTGCTCCAAATCCCATCTGCCCTTTATGTGAAGAAGCACCTGAGACTATTGAGCACCTTCTCTGCAATTGGGCTAAACCCATTTGGTATGGCTGTCCATTATCTCTTCGCATGGACCCAATCCAGGTCTCTTCTTTTGAAATATAGTGTGAGTATGTGTTTTTGCATAACAGCTTCTTGGATGACCTGGGAAAGGTCTATATTGCCATGCTATGTGGGAACATTTGAAAGATGAGGCGTGCTGCTGTTTTCTCTGCTGCAGAACTTAATCTTGTTTTTGTGGTAGATAATACAAACTTTGCTTCATCAGAGTTTTGGAATGCTAATAATACTGATGTTCAAGAGGGTCCTAAGTGTGACCCTTTTGCTGTCAATTGGAATCCTTCTAACAGAGGGGAACTCAAGATTAATGGTGACAGGACCATGAAGGCCATTTTGTCAAAGACTGGAAGGAGAGATTTGCTGTTCCTAATGGTCTTGTGGCTGAAATTCTGGCTTGCTCTTGTGCTATTGACATTGCTTCTACCTTCAGAAACATCCCAGTGACAGCTGATTGAGATTGCCTAGAGCTTTACAAAGTAATTACTTCTAATAATATTAGCTCTCTGAATTGGTTGAGTCATGGTCCTGCTGCTGATCTTCTTGCTCATATTAGTAACCTTAGCAATATTAGTTTCTCCTTCATCAAGCACAATGGGAACTCCACCGCTGACTGGCTTGCTGCCATAGCTTCAAAGGACATGGATTTACCAGGTTGGATCTTCACCCTTCCACCTCCTCTTTAACTGGTTTATGCTTAGGATTTAAAGGCCAACTCTGCATCATGTCCTTCACCTTTTATTGATAATGAACAAGAAGGAATAGGCTAATTTGTTTTACTGTCAGTGCATTTTCTAATGCCTTCGCCTTGCTGGCTTATGGCTTTAGTCATGACTGTCAAAAGACTTCGATGTTTGCTTTATGAATGAAATTTCGGTTGGCCAGGGAAAAAAAAAAGAACATTGCGTTAAACTAAAAACTGACTATTAATGTTGTCTTTGTGTGTGTGTGTGTGTGTGTGTGAAGAAAATGACTAATTGAGATAACAAGGGCTTATGTGCCTAAGCCAGGTTTATATAGGTCAAGCCTGCCCATTTTCTTGATCTAGATAAGAGATGATCCAATTGTTCATAATGAGGCCTTTGATCATTTTGATATTGTTGATGAGGGGTTGATTTTGATCATGCTCAACTGCTCGTTGACTGATTTTTCATACATTTA